TACCATCTAATCTTTGTCTATGAGGATTGCGTTAACTGGCCGCCGAATTTTGCCGTCAACTCGTCGAGCACAAATTCAGTTAATAATTAAAAAAAATATTATATGATTTTTATGTAAATGAGTATTTAAATCTAGCTTAGTTATATCAAAAAAAAAAATTCTAACCCAATCTACTTTTAATTTCTGGATCCGTCCGTGCCTACGCGAAAAGACCCTAGGGTGGCAAGAGGGAAATCCTCACCTTCGCCCCTCCACTAGGACGAGGCCAATTCATCCAACCAACTAATTCTACCGGTTACATCCCAACACGTGTCGCCATGCATGAAGAAGAGCCATCTTGATCAGGCCACGTGTCCCAAAGATATTATTATTGTTATTATTATTATTATTCAGTCTTCACCTTCTATAGATGGTCATCCCTAGCGCTTGGAAAAAAATCACCGAAAAAACATGAGAAAATAATCTATTTCAATCGATAACACACTATAGATCAGGTTCCTTCAATAGCCATATGCAATATGAGATCGAGAAACAATCAAAATTTAACAATAAATCTCAGTGGCAGCGTATTAGCGAAAACAATTAATTCGTCAATTGTCTTACTGTCCTTATTTTCTTTTCATTTTTTGTTTCTTTTTCTGTCTATTCCAAATTCAAGTTACAATCTCGATATAACATACTACCACTTCATAATCTTGTTGACAAAATCGATACCTAACACTTATAATTATATCAATTAAAAATGTATCTATCAATTCATTATATTTTTAGAAAATTTGTTATAAAATAAGATGGTGGTGTAGATTAATATGTTGTTGTTGTTATTATTATTACTATTATTATTATTATTATTATTATTATTATTATTATTATTATTATTATTATTATTATTATTATTATTATTATTTAATGGCTTGGTGGACAAGTTAATGTTTAGGGTTAGAGGCACGACTCCCTCTAGTTTATTTTCCTTGGTTGTTTATGAATAAAGTATGAATTATATCGTGTTTTGATGTTCTTGAGATTGAGATCTCATTAATATCGTCATACTCGTACGCTTCCCTACATCAGTTGGTATCAGAAGTCAGCACGATTCAAGATGTCGCCGCGGAAGGACGACATCGACGGGCATGACGCCACCATTGAGTATCCGGCTCGACAAGCCATGGGTTTCGGCCGCCAGATCAATCAATTGGATCCTCGGGTTAAGGATCTTTCGACGGGAATCGAAGAAGTGCGTCTTACGATCAACAACATTGTTGAGGATCTACAGACGAACCGTGATGCCGACAACCGGGGCGTTCGCGGGGGAGTTCACGGAGGACGTGGAGGCCGTGGTCCAGGCGGTGCGCCCCGCCGGAGATCTCCACAACCACCGTTCGGCGATGAAGACGGCGAGGATACCATTTCGGAGGTGAATCCCTTCGGCGAGTGGCAACCTCCACACGTCGAGGCTGACCCCTTCGCTGCATACGGCGGCCGTGACATGTGGCGACGGGGCCCGGTCTTCGTGGACGGCGACGATCAACGCAGCGATAGGGGCTGGCGCGAGGAGGCAGCCTTCGCTGGCGGATATCGTGCCCGATACGATTGGGGACTTGATCGCGAATATGGTCAAAGGGCTTGTTTCGCGTTGACATCCCAGAATTCGACGAAGAGCAAGTTGACGGGCCATTGTACGATGGTCCACCGGTGTTTGATGAAGAACCCGAGGAGGCGAAGGAGCGTCTTACCGGTGAAGTGGACAGTCTCTACGACGGTCTGCCGATTTTCGATAAGGAACCTTCGGGCCCAGAGAAATTCAATCATGTTTCGGGCACAAATTCAGCTGTTGGAAGAATTTGGTGTTCGATTGGTAGTTATTCTATCGCGCAGGCCCGAGCTTTTCTCTTACGTGAATTTGTTGGGACCTTGCAAACAGATGTTGTGTTTTGGTGCCCACGGTGACTTCAAAATTATGTGTGTGGCTGCTGCATATATGTCTTTCCATGACTTTTAAGGGGGTGATACCATGAGAGTGAGACATTCAACCTTCGTGTTCGACCGAGGGAAACGACGGGAGTTACTACCATGGGTTCGATACCATACGCCGTGCACGGGTGCGCATCGGCTTCGAGGGCGAAGCCTTCCAAACCGGGGGAGAATTGTGTAGATTAGTATTGTTGTTGTTGTTATTATTATTATTATTATTATTATTATTATTATTATTATTATTATTATTATCATTATTTAATGGCTTGGTGGACGAGTTAATGTTTAGGGTTATGGGCCTTATATAAAAGACTCCCTCTAGTTTATTTTCCTTTGTTGTTTATGAATAATATATGAATTATATCGTGTTTTGATGTTCTTGAGATTGAGATCTCATTAATATCGTCTCACTCGCTTCTCTACATCAGATGAGAAATCATACAAGTTAAAAGTCTAACTTTAAATATAAATAATAATGCAATTCTTTAAAAGATATTTCAAATTTAAATAAAAATAATTTTTATAAGTGTTATACCAATAGATCTAAAAAAAAAAAACCATCAGAAATGTGTGAGTTCACGTATAAACTGAAAATAATTTAATCATAAGATCAGAACTCAAATGTGTTAAATCAGATCAATATTACAACTTACAACACCCAATATTAGAAGAGAAACAAAAAAGAAAAAAGAAAAGGTATTGACAATTAAGTTGAGTCAAATTTCACAGTTGTCGCCGGCAACCATGACCGACCCTCGATAAAGGAGTCCACATTATACTTGGAGGCCTCGCTGGCCGTCATGCTTCGCTTGTATCCGGCCCACGAAACCCTATTGGCCGTGTTTGCCCCGAGACCAGTGTTCCGATACTCACCGTAAAAAATCGAGCTAGGTGGATCCACATTCGAAACCCACGAAATCCAACCTCTCGGGTTCAAGAACCCGCCAATGCTCGTTTCCATTATAACAGTAGTCGAATAATCCTTCCAGGGCCGGCCTAGATAAGTCGGGGCCGAGAGATTGTCCAATGGGCTAATCGCGCACCTTTGGATCGAAATCCCCGTGTTCTGATTCGGGTCCTTCTTCCCTTGGGCCGTGATCGTCACGAATTGGTTAGGCAAAGGTTGTCTCGGCAAGATGTTGCAGTTTTGGAAAACGACTGCAGAGTTTCCGAAAATGAAGTCGATCGTGCCCGTTATGTCGCATTCTCGATAGAACTGGCGGTTGGAGTGCGCGTAGAGCGTGTCTTGGAAGGCGTCGAAAGTGCACCGGTAGAAAACCGATTGGTCAGAGCCGGAACGCAAGGCCACCGCTTGGTGCTTGTTGGGCCCGGCCGTGTTTTTGAACCCTATGTCACGTGCGATGAACCCTCTCCCGGCAACGGCTGGTGAGAATTAGAGATCAATAATTTAGAATGTGAGTCTAAAATTAATATTATGATATTAAGTTGACAATTATCTTATTTTTTTATTATTATTATTATTATTTTGGTACATCTTATTATTATCTTAATTGATTACTTAATTATGATTGGGTCAATTATTAGTGTCTAACCAACATGCCTCCCATGTTATACGAAACCTTCTTATTCACAATAATTAAATCGAATTACTTATTGATGTTATATATTAGCAAGGGGAAATGCTACGGTCCCGTTACGGAACCATTCCGTCGGAGTTTGCAACTGTTAGAACATCATGTAACCGTCAGATATAGTTGATCTAACGGTTGCAAACCCCGACGGAATGAATCCGTAACGGGACTATAGCATTTCCCTATTACCGGTAATTCATTTGGATTTAGTATCTTATTTTATCAACAAGCTGTATCATTAAGAGAGTATTATGACAATATGACTACACAACAAATATAATAAAGGGAGATGCTACGGTCCCCTATTCGATCAGAGTTTGTAACCGTTATATCAACTATCTCCGACGGTTAATGATGATCTAACGATTATAAACTCGACGGAATGGTTCCGTAACATCATTTTCCTATAATGTATTTTGATTATGACTAATTAATATTAGTTGGGGGAGACATGGGCCTAAAGTTCACATGGTGGGATCTACAGTTTTTTTTGTTCTTTAGCAATAGAACATGAGCAACTGTTACTGTGCAATTTGGTTAAGCAAAGCACCAAATCACATGGGAATCTCAGAGCAATGTTCTGCTTAAAAATATAATATTATATAATATATTATATTCATTTTTATATAATATTATAATAATGGGAAATTAAAGGCGCTGTAATTAAAAAAGATTGAATTTGAACTCACCAAAGGTGGCCGTGGAGAAGGTGGGAGTCCCGTCGACGAAGTTCTTGCTGCCGGAGATGATGGTGGCGTTCTTGCCGTCGCCGTAAATCATGACGTTCCAGCACGACTTATCAAGCACCACGTTCTCCACGTACACTCCCGCCTTCACGTATATCACGAACCTCGCCTTGCTCTTCTTCGGTATCCTCTCCACCGCCTCCCCCACCGTCCTCACGTCTCCACTCCCGTCCGCCGCCACCGTCACGTCCGGCCTCACCGCCCCCTGCTGCAGCAGCCTCCGGTCAACCCACGCCGGCATATCCATCTCCGGCGGCGCCACTGCCAGCATCCTCCGCCGCCGGTGGATCGGGACGTCGATGGCCCCGATTATCCTCGACACGATGGCCAGGCTGTTGCTCGCGAGCTCCGTCGAGTTCCTCATCAGGACCTCCGCCTCGGCGGCGAACGCCGCGCCCGCCTCGCGAAGGGCGTCCGTGCAAGTCTCCTGGTCGGTGACCGCCGTGCTCAGCCAAGTCTTCAGGTCCTCGATCCCGCCGCCGCCGCCCCGCGCGGCGGCGATCGAGTCGTTGAGGTGGTCGACGGCGTCGCTCAGCACCGTCCCGCAGACGCCCAGCGCCTCCCTCACCCGCGGGTCGTCGGTCCTAGCGGCGTACTCGCCGGGAAATTCGGATATTTTCTGCAGAGAATTGAGGACCACCGTCAAGGAGAGCTCGAAGATCTTCTCCGGGTTGGTGGATTTCGACGAGCTCAGGGTCGAGAGGCACGAGCTCTGGTAACGGGTGGCGCTGCAGATCGATCTGACGGCCGCCGCCGTTGCCCGGGACGCCGGAGACTCGCCGGGATCTGAGGCTTTCTTGTTGCGGGAGACTGTTCCGGCGACGACGCCGATGATGAGGGCGAGGAGGAGGACGGATGAGATGGAGAGGATGATGATGCGTTTTCGGGTTTTTCGACGGAAAGCGGCTTGCTCGAGCTCGTCCACTTTGCCGTAGCCCTTGAAGGATCGGACGGTGTCCATTGCCGGCGACTGAAAATACTATGGATTTTTATTATTAGATTGAATTTTATTTACTTATATATTTTTTATTGGGTTTGTTTTTTGGCCTTTTGGCTGTGTGAAGATATTTATTGTGTTTTTATTTGTAGAAGTTGTGTTGTGTGAATGGTGAAGTAGTGCTCATCATTTTATTTGATCAAACTGGACAGAATCTTGTTGATAAATTATTTATTTTTAATTGTGTTTTTTTATAACTACAAGAAACAGGGGGGGAAATAATACGATTGGATTTAATAATCTGTTAATAATTCAGAAATTCAGGGGGCATGTGATTTTGATTTTACAATTATTTGATCACTAAAAATTGTTTTTTTTTTT